CCGCCGCTGCCCCTCCCCGTCCCACCTGCATCCCCATCCCCTTCTGCATCCCCATCCCCATCTGGTCCCGTTCCCTTCCCCACCTGCATCCCCATCCCCATCTGGTCCCGTTCCCTTCCCCACCTGCATCCCCATCCCCATCCCCTTCTGTATCCCCTTCTGCCCCCATTCCCTTCCCCACCGACATCCCCATCCCCTTCCCTGTCCGTGTCCCCGTCCCCACCCTCATCCCAGCCCTGTCCCTGGGGCAGCCCTGGCTCCGCAGGGTCAGCTGGCAGCAGGGTGACAGCAAGGGGTGGGCAAAGGGGGACAAATCCTCTCCGTGCCCTCGCACCTGCAAACAACAGCCCGGGGAATGGTGGGGTCCTACGATAACCCAGCTCAGGAGGGACCTGGGGAGCTCCGCATCCGACCGGCCCTCTGCCAGCCGAGGTCCTGCCTGCTGCAGGCAGGGCCAGCTCCGCTTCCTCGGGGCTTTATCCAGCCTGGTCTGGATGAGCTCCACGGATGGGGACAGGGCGGCTGCCCGGGCCGACCCGCTTGGCTGTCCTCAGGGAAAAGCTGCTCGTAGCCAGCGGAGACCCATCCTCTTCCAGCTCACACCCGTCGTCTCCCGTCCTCCGTGCGGCAGAGGGCTTTGCCAGGCTCTGGGAGAGTTGTGGGTGCTCGCTGAGTTCCCGGCGGGACCCGGGGATCCCCATCTCTGAGCTGGCTCTGCAGCTTCCCCCCTTGGTTTGCCCTTCCCCCCCCCCCGAGCCGCACGGTGAAGAACCACAGCCCCCAAGGGACCCCAGTGCAGCCTCAAAAAGACACGGAGGGAGCTGCGTGGGTCGGTGGCGAGCTGGAAGGTGCCGCCGATACCCAAAACTCAAGAGACCTGCATTGTGCCCCAGCCTCTCCATCTGCCTTTTTGGGTGAAAACCACCAAATTCCTTCCCTTTTCCCCCACCTCAGTTTCCCCACCTGTGAAAGGACAGGAGCCACTCACTCACTCACAGCAGCCTCTGGGCCAGGGGCTGTCGGGGACAGCCACCTCCTGGTTTTTTTTGCCGGAGGGCGGAGGGAGCATCTTGCGCGCCCCAGATCCGGGCCCCAGGGACCCCCAGTGCCGGAGGGAGCATCTTGCGCGACACTCGCCCCAGATCCGCCCCCCGCCGCCCCGTCCCAGCCACGCTGGTGGCGTCTGCTGCAGGATGGCAGATTTTATTGCCGAGCGCCACACAGAGAAACCTCGGGGAGGGGACCCCGGCGCCAGGGAAGGGGCAGCATGGCCAAGGTCGTCAGAGGGACTTGCCGTGCTGCAGGCGCCAGTGGGTGATGACGTTGGAGCTCTGGGTGAAGCTCTTGCCGCAGTCGGGGCAGACGTAGGGCCGCTCGCCGGTGTGGACACGCTTGTGCTTGGTGAGCGCCGAGCTGGTGGTGAAGCTCTTGCGGCACTCGGGGCAGACGTAGGGCCGCTCGCCGGTGTGCACCCGCTGGTGGGTGGTGAGGTGGGCAAACTGGCTGTAGCCCCGGCCACACTCCCCGCAGCGGTAGGGCTTCTCGGGCAGGTGGGTGCGCCGGTGCCGCAGCAGGTAAGAGCTGGTGGAGAAGCTCTTGCCGCAATCGGGGCAGGCGAAGGACTTCTCGGCGCGGTGCGTGCGCTGGTGCTTGGCCAGCAGCGAGCTGTCAGCGAAGGCCTTGCCGCACGCCGGGCAGGGGTAGGGCCGCTCGCCGGTGTGGGCGCGCCGGTGGATGGTGAGCGAGGGGCAGTCCCGGAAGCTCTCGCTGCAGTCGGGGCAGCGGTAGGGCCGCTCGCCCGTGTGCAGCCGCTGGTGGGTGAGGAGGTGGGAGCTCTGCCCGAAGCAGCGCCCGCACTCGGGGCAGGCGTAGGGCCGCTCGCCCAGGTGGCTGCGGCGGTGGGTCAGCAGGTTGGAGCGCAGGCTGAAGCTCTTCCCGCACGCCTCGCAGGTGTTGGGACGCGACCGTGCCGCCCCGGCACCGCCGCCGCGCTCCTGCTCTGTCTCCTGCCTGGGGGACGTGCCCCCCCTCTCTGGGCTCTCCTCCTGCCTGTCACCTGCTGGGGAGGGGGTGCTTGGGAGGGCAGGGACGGGACAGGGAGGGGGTGCCGAGGCAGCTGGCAGCAGCCCTGTCCCGGCCGCAGGTGTTGACCCTGCCGCCCTCCGCTCCCAGCCCATGGGGACAAGCGCCGAGCCCAGCCCCGTCCCAGTACCTGTCCCGGCGTCTCCCTGGCTCGCTCCTGCCTCGGGGCTGCAGGTGCCTGGGTCCATGCAGGGCCGGGAGCCCTCCGTTCCCTGGGGAGAGAGAAGGAGGAGAAGAGAAGAGGAATCAGGGGGGCGGGCTTGCCCAGGACAAGTGGCCTCAGGGCTGGGGGTCTGGCGGCAGGGCAGACCCCCGGCACAGGGCGCAGCAGAGGCCATGTTCCCCGACGGCACTCGCCGCCATTTCCCCCTGGACCAACAGCCCAGAGCACAGTGAGGGGACTGGTGGGCAATGGGGGCTCACGGAAATGACGCTTTGCCCCCAAAACCTGCCCGAGGCTGCACAGGGCAGCGGGAGGAAGGGTCTGCAGGCGCTGGGGGAAGCAGAAACCC